GCTCTGCCTGGACCTCCTCAGACGGAGTTCAGAGTCTCTGGGGGGGTGGGACATGGGTGTGGGTGTCTTTGAAGCCCTCAGCTGACTCAGGTCATTCCGCTGTGTAGGCAGGACGCACACAGAAGGATCTAAAGAAAGCAGCCCGGAAAGGGGGACAGACACCCATCTGCAAGGCGAGCGATAGCGGCAGTGTCCCCCACGGCCCCGGGCCCGCCTCAGCAGCACCCCCATCTACGTCTCTCCACATGAGCAGGTTAGGGGAGAGAACGGGCTGCTGGCCGTGTCGCAGCAGCGCGGAGCGCGCCCGCAGAGCCTCTGCCGAGAGCCGGCCTGTGGGCGCCTGCTGTCCCGGTGGCCTGGAAGTAGAGACGGTCACACGTCTGCTCTTTCCCACGGGCACTCCAAGGAGAGGGAGAGGCGGGAGTCTCGGAGCACCCCCCCCCCCCGCCAGCCCAAGCAGATGGGGCCTCCGCTCCAGCCTGTGCTGGGGGAAGAAGGAGACAACCTTTAAACCAAGTTTGAGGTGCAAGGGGACCGAGTTTTCACAGCCACAAAGGACTGGAAATTCTGCAGCCTGCCCCAGAGACCACACAGGGCTGGGGAGCCAGACCCTGTCAGGGCTGGATTACCCAATAAGCAAGGTACGCACAGGCCCTGTTGTGCCTTCCCACTAATCTGCGGTGCACAATTTCACCTGTCCCCCACCGCATCAAAGATGTGGTGAAACCCAAGTGAAACTGCTCACCACAGATCAGCAGTAAATACAACAGAGCCCGCGCGTACCCTGCTCGATGGAAGCCGGCGCATACCTGCAGACTGGTTAATCCAACGCTGGACCCCAAGCACAGGTGACACTGTGGATGCAGAAACAGAGCCCTGCTTACCCACTCCCCACTCCCACCCCACCCCCGCCCGCCCTGCCCCGTGTGGTCGGTGCTCTATGCGTCCAGAAAACAACAAACCAAACCCGCTGACTTCGAGTTGATTCCAACTCATAGCAACCCTATAGGACAAAGTAGAACTACTCCATAGGGTTTCCAAGGAGCAGTTGGTGGATTCGAACCACTGACCTCTTGGTTAGCAGCCGAGCTCCTAACCACTGCGCCACTAGGGCTCCTTAAATCTGTCGTCCTGAGACCCTCTTGGGGCATCTCCCTACTGCCCTGTCTGGGGTGTCATCTGCAACCCTGGGCGCCACGCAGAAACTGGGCACGGGGGTAGGTGTGGGTTCTGACCTTGACCTTTCCTCATTCTGCCTGGGACCAATGAGAAGCCACACTTCAACTGGGCCCAGGCAAGGGCTCCTGGACCTGACCACCAGACCCTTCGGGGCCCACTGGCTCCCTCCACAAACTTCCGAGCCCTTTTTGTGGGTGCAGGAAAGTGGAGCAGCCAAGGGTGGGTGGGCTGTGGAAACTCGGGGCTTCCCGGCAGCCCTCCCTGCCCCAAGATCCCCAGGCAGCCCTGAGGATGGGCTGAGAGGCGGGGCCTCCCACAGAGACCCTCCCCATCTCTAGCTCCTCTTCTAGTGTGTGGGGTGGAGAGGGACGCCAAAGAAAAACGGTGTCCCTAGTCACACAGGGAAGTCCCGGGTGGCACAGTCAGCTGCTACTTGAAAGGTTGGAGGTTCTAGTCCACCCAGAGGTAGCTCAGAAGAAAGGCCTGCTGATCTACTTCCAAAAAAATCAGCCCATTGAAAACACTATGGAGCACAGTTCTACTCTGACACATGTGGGGTTTCATTTAGGGTTTTTAATCCCATGGGCTTCCAAGTCTATTCTTACACTTGGACCAAGGCTTTTGAAGTTAACAGCCAAGGATTGGAAACCTTGCTTCTTTGTTTCCCCGTGAGAGCCGCCCTAGAGTAGAGACGTCTCCCTTCTGGCTTCCTAAACGAGAAAGGATCACAGAATTAAAAAATGAGCTGGCCCCACGCCTCTACAAACATGCCACCGTGAGGGGCTGGAAGGGGCAGCCTGCGTGGCCAAGCTGTGCTGAGCCTCAGCGTCCCTCCCCACCCACCGCGGCTCCCTCCCTCCTCTCTCTGAATGTCCTGGTGCAGGCAGACCCTGCCTAGCCCCTCTGCTCCGCCTCTTAAAATCAGAGAAAGATAGGAGAGAAAAACAGCAGAAAATGGTAGCAGAGCAGTGGAAATCAACTACAGGTGCAGGAAATTGGGGGAGACACTGTTTACTACAAACTTGCATAAATAGGGACAAAATAACCAAAACAATGAGTTGTGTGGTTGGGAATATGTGACAAACGCGACTCTTGCCTCTGAGGGGAAATAACAGAAGTTAACGAGTCCCTTACAGAAGCTGCAAATCTGCCACCAAATCTCGTTGCTCCCGTCTCTGGCTACCGTGAATAAAGCCGCTCGGAGCCCTTGTGCCGGAGTCTCCATATTGACCTGAGTCGTCACTGGTCTGAACAGCGCTTTCTTCATTTTGCAATACGCTGCCTTTTCTGGGGCTATTTTTATACAAATATGATTTACCAGTGCAAGACAATTTCAAAATAATAATGAGTCTCTGACCTCTTTATTTTAAATAAAATGAATTTGGGGATTTTTATCCGTTTTTATCATCCCTCCATTGACATTCCGAAAATTATAACAGGGCATGCATGCTGACAGATAGCAACTGGCCCCAGACCTCAGGGCCAAGACCCCAGGGACTGGCGGATTCCATAGCCAACAGAAAAGTGCCTACCTTGTTTAAAATGAGCAGCCGCCACGCAGCTTCAGCCAGTTCATGGTGTAGACACGCAGACGTGATGTTGCTGAATCTCCTAATTTTCAAGAGAAGACAGAGTTTTTGTATGCCTATTCAAGCTCCTGAATGTGGGCATATAACACCAAAAACAGTCCAGCCCTGGGCGGGTGAACGGTGTTTGATACCAGACGGCGCAAGATAAAACACCACCCCAGGCCCAGTCTGGTCCAAGGTCCCTCACTGTCTGGCTAGGACTTTGGTTCTCGGCCCTGGCTACAATCAAAGTGACCTTTTAGCTTATAAAATGCAGTACCTCTGGGCCCTATCCCAGTCTCTGGCTCAGGAGATCTGGGCTGAGTCCTGGATAACTATATATTTTCTTAACGTGCCAGAGTCTGTTCTGACGCAGGCAAGGATGAAGCAGCATACATCCAAAGCAGGAGATGGCATTTCAAGTTACAGCACCTTGTCGCGCTTCCCACCTCGCCACCGTGTTCAGAACATTCTGAAAGCTTCGCGGGCTCCCCCCCTGAATCTGACCTCGAAGGCTCACTGGATCTCAGTAAGCTGGAGTAGGTTTTGCGCACACAATGAAACAAGTGACAATGGAGACTCTTGTCCCTCACGAACCCAAATGGCATCATGGGGGCCTTTCTGAAAGAAACTTGATTGTAAGTCAAAGATTTCCATGTATGAGCTGAGGGGGGTTCCTTATTCACAACATGGAAGCACAGAACAAAAACCTCTCCCTAAACGGGGGGGTGGGTCCCTAGAAGGTGCAGTCGGTTGGCACACTTGCCGCTTACCCAAAGGTGGAAGGTCTGAGTCCACCCAGAGGTGCCTTGAAAGAAAGGCCTGGCGATCTACTTCCCAAAAATTAGCCATTGAAACCCACAGCTCTCCTCTGACACACACAGAGTCGCCATGAGTAGGTGGCCACTCGACAGCAACTGGTTGAAATAAGGGAGACAAGAAAGAAAGCAGGAGAAAGGGGATAAAACCAGCTCCAGAGGTAGGATCTTGCCTTCCATGCAGGGAACCCCGGTTTGATTCCCGGCCAGAGCACCTAATGCACAGCCACCACCATCTGTCAGGGGACGTTTGCATGTTGCTATGACGCTCTTTAAGGTGTTAAAAAGCAAAGACGTCACCTTGAAGACTAAGGTGCGCCTGACCCAAGCCAGGGTATTTTCAAATGCCTCATATGCGTGCAAAAGCTGGACAACAAATGAGGAAGACCAAAGAAGAATTGATGCCTTTGAATTGTGGTGTTGGCGAAGAATATTGAATATACCTTGGACTGCCAGAAGAACGAACAGGTCTGTCTTGGAAGAAGTACAACCAGAGTGTTCCTTAGAAGCAAAGATGGTGAGACTTCATCTCACACAGTTTAGACATGTTGTCAGGAGGGACCAGTCCCCGGAGAAGGACATCAGGCTTGGTAAAGCAGAGCGTCATGGAAAAAGAGGAAGACCCTCCATGAGATGGACTGACACGGTGGCTGCAACAATGGGCTCCAGCACAGCAACAATTGTGAGCATGGCACAGGACCGGGCAGTGTTTTGTTCTGTTGTACACGGGGTCGCTATGAGTCAGACCCGATTTGATGGCACCTAACCACAACAATGACGCTGAGCAGGTTTCAGTGGAGCTTCCACTAAGGCAGACTAGGAAGAAAGGCCTGGTTATCTACTTCCAAAAATCAGCCAGTGAAAACCCTACGGATCACAACAGTCTGATCTGCAGGCAATCGTGGGAATGGCGCAGGACCAGGCAGCGTTTGGCTCCACTCTGCATGGGGTCTCCATGAGTTGAGGGCCAACTCAATGACAGCTAAATAACAACAAATAAGGGAGACAAGAAAGGAAGCAGAGGACACTGGATAAAACAGACTGTTGGGGTTTTGCAAACAGTTTAGCAGGCAAAGAAGCCGAGGGACGCTGAGGCCCCCAGTCTGGGGTTCTTGTCCTGTCCAGTGAGAGAGGACTTAACCCAGGCGGGAAGGTGCCATGGAAGCAGCCTGTCTCACACCCCTTCCAGTGAGCTCCTGCAAGCCCAAGACAGATGGGTCTCCGTGACAGATGGAGGCAGCGCCAGTAACCAGATCCTCCCTGTATTTGCATTTTAGGCCTCTAACTTGTGGTCACGTGACAAGCAAATGAAGAAAAATTGGAAATGACCATTAGCCGAGAAAAATAAAATGACAACTACATGGAGTGGTGGTCAGAGGACTGCAGGGCCGGCTCCATTCTTGTCGCGGAAACCTGAACACTGAGGCCAGAGAGAATGGCAACGGTGAACACGGACGCCTGGGACAAAGACACGTCTCTGGGGAAGACTGTCTTCACCCTGGTGGTGTCTGGGCTAGAGTGCATCGCGGGCACAGTGGGGAACGGCTTCATCACGGCTGTCCACGGTGCCGAGTGGGCCAGGGGCAAGCGGCTCCCCACTGGCGACCGCATCCTGGTGCTGCTGAGTCTCTCCCGGCTCCTGCTTCAGATCTGGATGATGCTGGAGAACGTGTTGAGCCTGCTTTTCCGAAGCTCCTATAACCAAAACACGGTGTACACGCTTTTCAAAGTCGTCATCATGTTCCTGAACTACTGCAACCTGTGGCTCGCAGCCTGGCTCAGCGTCTTCTACTGTCTGAGGATCGCCACCTTCTCGCACCCCTTGTTCTTCATGATGAAGAGGAAGATGGTGGGGCTCATGACCTGGCTGGTGTGGCTGTCGGTGCTCCTTTCCTTCTGCTTCAGCATTCCCTTCTGTAAGGACACCTTCTACGTGCACGTGAATAACTCCATCCCTGTTCCCGTCTCCAACTCCACGGGGAAGACGTACTTCTCGGAGACCAATGTGGTCAACCTGGCCCTTCTCTATAACCTGGGCATCTTCCTCCCTCTCAGCATGTTCATCCTGGCTGCCACCCTGCTCATCACCTCCCTCAGGAGACATACCCTGCACATGCAAACCAGTGCCACTGGCTCCAGGGACGCCAGCAGGCAGGCCCACATGGGGGCCATCAAAGCCATCAGCTACTTTCTCGTTCTCTACGTCTTCAATGCAGTCGTTCTCCTACTTTCTATGTCCAACATCCTTGACACCAACAGTTACTGGAACATTTTCTGCAAAGTCATCATGGCGGCCTACCCTTCCGGCCACTCAGTGCTGCTGATCCTGAGTAACCCTGGCCTGAGAAGAGCCTGGAAGCGGCTTCGGCACCTGGCGAATCACTACCTAGAGGGGCAGACTCTGTGACCAGCGTCCAGGGAGCACCACGGAGCTGGTCCCCAACTCTGCCTCCCCTCCCCTAGATGGTCCTCCTCTCCCACTGCTTCTCCTCAAACCTGCCCTGACCTTCTCCTCAGATAACTGGGTCCCACTGTGGATATGAAGCTGGATTCTTAACATGAGAATCTACCCAGAAGTAGCTACACATCTCAAAGACGGATTTCTACAAGCCCCCTCACTCCTTCACAACCTGCCCGAGCTCCTTTCTACTTCCTCCTCCTCTGAGCCTTTCGGGGATGGAACCAGACAGCTCAGTTTGCCTGGGACAACCCCCGTTTATGCCTGCTGCTGGGCGTGATTCTCAGCTGAGCACCCGCTGATTCTCAAGGATATCTTAGCCGTATGATAAATTATATGGTCGCCCTTCTTGAGAAGTACCCACCGGTTAGACACAAGGGCTCGTGCAGAGCACAGCGTGCAGTGCGAGGAGCGGATGGAACCAGGATGCCGAAGGAGGAAAGGGATGCAGGAAAGAGGCGCTGGCCAAAATCATCAAGCGCTGTGGAGATTTCAAAGGAAGACAGAAGGGAAAGTCTTGGATCTGAGTCAAGGAGGCCATATGTACTATCAATGGAGTGACGGGACCAGATCATGCAGGGAGGTTGGCTGGAGACAGAAACACAATGTGGGATGGCAGTGGACAGGGGGACAGGCCACAAGACCAAGTGGACACTTCTTCCCAGAGGGGAGATGCAGAAAAGAGAGGGAGGAAGAAGGGGAGTGAGCAGGGAGCGGCAGAGTGAGCAAACCTCCACTTGGCTAATGCTAACTGTGACATGCAGGGGCACCTCACCTCTGGCCAGACCCGTCCCAGTCACCTCGGAGTGACGGAGGGACAAGGACTGGCTGCTGGGGTGGCTATCGGGGCCAAGGACATCACAACCACTGTCCCTCGGCAGCACAAGACTCAGAGGGCTGCTCACGAAGTTAAGACCCCACCTGACACTGTGGAACTAAGAAGCTAGGGATTTAGCTTTTTCTTGTATTATGTATTTTTAAAAGTGTAATTACTAAGGAAAATGTGAAGAGAGTGCTATTGATCACAGCACACTTAAGCTGTCCCCAAATGAACACGTAAGGTCAGGAGCTACGACTGAATTCCCAGCCCCTGGGCGCTCACGGTATTTCAGAAAGAGTTCCTTATTTCTGTAAATGGTAAAAAAAAAAACTCACACTCACACGCAATACACACACCACACCACACACACCACACCACACACACTCACGCACCACACACATTCACGCAGACATACTCACCACACACACTACACACTCTCACACACCACACACCACACGACACCCACATGCACAACCATACCCCATACACACTCGTGAACATACACACAGATACATTCGCCACATACGCACACACTCACACATTTTCACACGCATTCACATATACCACACACATACCACAACACACCACACACACACACACCATACACATCACACACACTCATGCATAGTCACACAGATACATTCACCGCAAACACACACTTCCACACATTCTCACAGTCACACACATACGTTCTCACAGACACACACACTCTCACACACATATTCATACATTCTCACACACATACGTTCTCACGCAGACACACACACACACATATTCATACATTCTCACACACACACTCACACACATACTCATACATTCTCACACACAGACACACACACACTCACACGAGGGAAGAGGACAGTGGGGTGAAGTCCTTCACACGCTCAGAAAGGCTGGTGTGAGGGGCAGGAGGGAGGCTGAGGAGCTATCCTTGGTGTCTGAAAGTGGGGGGGGGTCTCTGCACCCCTCTTCCAGACTGGGATGAAGACCTGACACAGGAGAGGAGAGAGGCGGGGGAGCATCCTTGTCGGGTGTCCCGGGAGGAGTTCCTATTGGAAGAGGGGTGGACGCGCTCTGGGGCCTTGGAGGTGGCCAGGCAGGACAAGCCAGGGCAGAGAGCAGCAGAGACACACAGGGCGGGTGACAGGCAGAGCAGGGCCGAGGAAGGGAGCGGAGGCGCCGGGGGGATTCAGAGCCACTCCCTCCTGCCTCCCGCCCCGGCCTCTGGGAGTCGTCCTGGAGAAATAGAAGGAGAGAGCTTCCTGAGGCATGTCCCGGCTGGGCGCTGAAAGGTGCTGGGGACACACAGGCCAACCATCCTCCCGAGGAAAAAACAGATGGCTTTTAATTTTCTGGTTTGTCTCTCATTGCGTCTTCCCTGTGTGCTTAGTGAAGTGCCTTGTGAACATTCTGCCTCTCTCAGCTGCATGAGGAGAATATCAGAGAAAAGTGGTTTTAAAGGCAGTCCACAGAGAACGAGACTCAGCAGCCCGGGGACCGGCTGTGGGGGTGGCAGACAGAGGGGACCGAGGAGGGAACTCCAGGAAGGTTGATGGGACACCTGGGGCCCTCAGGCTCTCTGGAGTCCAGAGGCTTGGGTTTGGGTCCTGGCCCACTACTTACTGGTTGTGGGGTGCAGGCATGTGATTGAATCCCCTGAACCTCAGTTTTTGTATCTGCACAAATGACAGTAATAAGACCTACCTCCTAGGACTATCCCAGGACGTGGCGCAGTGGTTAAGAGCTCGGCTGCTAACCAAAAAGGTCAGCGGTTCGAATCCACCGGCTGCTCCTTGGAAACCCTAAGGGGCAGTTCTACTCTGTCCTATAGGGTCGCTATGAGTCGGAACCGACCCGATAGCACCTAACAACAACCACAGGACTGTCTTGCAGTTCATGAGGGGTGCAAAAGGTTAACATGCTCAGCAGCTAATCGAAGGGCTGTTGGTTCAAGTCCACCCAGAGGCACCTCAGAAGAAAGGCCAGGCAATCTACTTTCAAAAAATCAACCACTGAAAACCCTGTGAGTCAGAGTCAACTCCACGGTAACTGGTTTTTCTTTCTTTGTTTGCTGGCTTGTTTGTTTGGGGATTTTTCTTTGTTTGTTTTAGTCCTTTTTAAAAAAAAAAAGCTAATGCCCTAGACCGCTTTCTGCTGCCTCCACCATGCTGCTAACGGCAGACACGGGGCTCAAATTCTGGTCTTATCTAAAACATTGAAGGGTACGGCCTACAGCTACCCAATCAATAGTATGAGTAAAAGCTGGTAAACAGGTGCCTGCAGGGTCCTCGGGAATGGCTGGAAGGTGATCTCAACCAGCGTGGAGATAATCGTGCCCCGTAAACCACCACCGTTAGGGGCCAAGGCCGGCCTGCGGGCTTTCTCCCTGCTTCTGACCCGGCGTGGCGCGTCAGACCTGTGTGTTCTTTTTAAACGGTGAGGTCACTGGCTGGTTTGTGGTCTGATGCCTTACGTCAGCATGGCGGGCTCTGGGAAAGGACCTCAACTTTGGTCCAAAGATCCAGATTTCAGCCCCAGGGTAGTCCTAGGAAGTCACTTAGCCTCTCTGAGCCTCAGTTTCCCCACCTGGAAAACAGAGATAATCCTGTATCCACGCCACAGGGCTGTCCTAAGGCGTAAAAGAAACTGTGTGTGTGTGTGTGTGTGTGTGTGTGTGTGTGTGTGTGTGTGTGTGTGTGTGTGTGTGCGTGTGTGCGTG